GTACCCAGCATGTGCCGTGACCCAGTCAAAATCAGAGTCTCAAATATTACAACTCCCAATAATGTAAGTCAGGAGACAAAATTAGAGGTTAACAAATCAATAGTGAAGTGGATCTTTGTGACACTTTTATGGCCAAGTTGGAAGAAGCAGATGGGAACAGGATGGGGAGCACCTCCACCAAACCACCTAGGAAAAGGGGAAGGGGAGAGTGTAGTCCAGTTACCACATCTGGCTCTTCAGACTTGAGATCAAAATCAAATTTTATTCATCAGCAAAGAACTGATCCTACGTTGACTGACTTGCATAATAAGGCAGTAACTGAACTAGAGGCAGAATCGGAGGCTATGACTTATTACTACACTAAAGAAGTGTTGATGCGGAAGTGGAGACCTAGCAGCTCACCTGTGTCACACACTTGGGAGGTAGTTAATCAAGTGGTCCTACCGAGGGGTTATAGAGACACAGTGCTAAGTGTAGCCCATGATTCACCAATAGGCGGGCATCAGGGTATTGCAAAAACATATCATAAAATAAGCAAGTACTTTACTTGGCCTGGATTAAAGAATATCATCCAGTATTGTAATGAATGTCCAGTATGTATAAAAACTGGCAAACCAAACCAGGTAATACCATAAGCTCCTTTACAGCCAATTATGGTAGCCGAGGAACATTTTACCCATGTTATTGTTGATGTAGTAGGCCCATTGCCGAGAACCAAGAGTGGTAATATGTATATCATCACCATGATGTGTCAAACTACACGCTTTCCTGAGGCATTCCCTGTGAGAAATGCTACAACGAAAGTGGTAGTTGAGAACCAGTTGCATGGAAACTGGCAGAGACTTGGATGATGGTCTTCCACTGATGATCATGGCACTGAGGGATACTTATCAAGAGTCCCTGGGGTGTTCACCTAACTCATTAGTTTTTGGCCATGAGGTCCACTAACCATCTTAAGAGATAAGTTGGTCGGAAATCCAAAGAGTGTTGTGCAGGTAAACTATATTCATGACTTACAAGATAAGTTAAATAAAAACAGGGCTAAAGCCTTAATTCATCTTAAAGAAGCTCAAGGAAAAATGAAGGCACAGTACGATAAAAAGACAAAGCAACGACATTTTGAGGCAGGTGATAAAGTGGTGGTACTAATGGCACGACAGGGACCATCATTGTTGCATAGGTTCCAAGGTCCTTATACAGTGATAAAGAAACTCAGTCTCACCAACTATGTAATCCAAACACCTGATTTCAAGAGAAAGGAAATAGTAGTGCATGTGAATAGCATGAAACTAACACAGAAGGGAACTACCAATACCAACCAGGTGCTTAGTGTAGCCCATGTAGATGAGAATAATGGGGAATGTGATTTTAACAATGTACCTAATGCTCATGTACCTTATTTTAGCAATGGGGAGTGGTTGGCTAATGTCCAGAAAATGGTGGAATATTTGTCATCAGAGCAGAAGCAGGACTTTGAGCAGTTGCTGACTTCTCATGCAGACATCTTTGGCGATATTCCCACCCAGACTACAATTATTCACCACGACATCGAGGTGACAGACAACCAACCAGTCAAGTCACACCCATATAGAGTCAACCCTACCAAGTTGAATCTCATCCGAAAAGAAGTTGACTACATGCTTCAACATGGATTGGTGAGACCTAGCAGCAGCAGTTGGAGTAGTCCGCGTATTTTGGGTTCCAAAGAAGGATGGAACTCACAGGTTGGTCATTGACTACCGTAAGCTAAATGTAATGACTGTTGATGATAACTTTCCAATACCTAGATTAGATGATTGTATAGACAATGTTGGTAAAGTCAAATTTGTAACCAAACTAGATTTGTCAAAACGATACTGGCAAATTCCTTTAACACCAAATTCCTTTAATTGTCTAAATACAATTAGGTCGACAAACAGCGTTGTTTAAGAAAACAGACATGGGTTGACAAAAGGGGAGGTAAGGTAGGTTACAGGGAATTTATTAGGTAGTGCTTCGTTTTTATCTTAAACTGGTTGAGAGAGGTACAGTCATTAACATGGTTGGGAAGGTCATTCCACATTCTGGGTCCCTTGATTTGTAGAGCATTTCTAGTTTGATTAAGTCGTACTCTTGGAATATCAAGACTGAATTTATTTCTGGTGTGGTGCTCATGGGATCTGTTACAACCTTCAATGAATCTTTTGAGGTCAGGATTGGCATTACAGTTCAGCGTTTTATATATGTATAATGCACATGAGAGAATGTGCAGTGACTTAATATCTAACATTCAGAGATTTGAGTAGGGGTACCGAGTGATGTCTGGGGCCAGAGTTGGATATTGTCCTAATAGCAGCTTTGTGTTGAGTAATTAGAGGACATAAATGATTTTGGGTAGTAGAACCCCAAGCACAAATACCATAGTTGAGATATGGATAGATGAGGGAGTAATAGAGCGTCACCAGGGCATGGCGGGGTACATAATATCTGATCTTAGAAAGAATGCCAACAGTTTTTGAAACTTTTTTTTATATATTTAGAATGTGTCCCTGGAAATTCAGCTTGTGATCAATGAGAACGCCAAGGAATTTGCCATCTAATTTGTTACAAATTTGGGTATTGTTTATTCTGAGATTTATTTGATTAGAGGATTTATTGCCAGACAGAATATAGAAAGTTTTGTCAATATTAAGGGTGAGTTTGTTGGCAGTTAGCCAAAGATGGACTTTATTTAGCTCAGTATTTACTGTGGCATTTAGAGCAAGGGGGTCAGGACTGGAGTAAATGAAGGTTGTGTCGTCAGCAAATAGAATTAGTTTGAGGTGTTGGGAGGCATTTGGAAGGTAATTAATGTAGATGAGAAAGAGGAGAGGGCCAAGTATGCTGCCCTGAGGAACACCAATGTTGATGGGTATGGTGGGAGAAATTGAATTATTCACAGAAATATACTGGAGCCTGTCAGTAAGGTAAGATTTGAGGTATTACAGGGAGTGTCCTCTGACTCCATAATGATGTAATATAAGAAGAAGGTTTTGGTGGTTGACAGTGTCAAAAGCCTTACGCAGGTCCACAAATAACCCAACAGGGAACTCATTTTTATCAAGAGTTGCATAAATCAAGTTAATCATACTAATAAGTGCATCGTTAGTGCTTTTTTGGGTCTGAAGCCATATTAACAAGAGCTAAGTATATTGTGTTTGGCTAGATAAGAGGAAAGCTGCTTGTAGATTAGTTTTTCAAATATTTTTGACAAGTTAGGCAGGATTGATTTAGGTCTGTAGTTGTTAACATCTGTGAGATCACCACATTTGTGGACAGGGGTTACTCTCGCTTTTTTTAGAATATCTGGAAAGGTTTGGAGTTCAAGTGACTTGTTGAAGAGCAATGCAATAGCAGGGGCTAAAGATCTGGAGGCTTTTTTGTAAATTAAAGTTGGTATCTCCTCAAGGGCACTAGACTTGATTTTAAGAGAAAGGATTATCTCATTGACGTCAGTGGAATTAGTAGGCTTTAAGTGCAGATATTGTGGATAGTTACCTGTAAGATAGTCCTTAACATCAGTACTGGAAGATGGAATATCATTTGCAAGGGATGACCCAACATTTTATAACCGAAACCAACCTCCACAGGAAGTAAGGTTCTTAACAGAATGCAAGAGTTACTGGATCTAATGTTGTAAGAAACAAATGAGGGCAATTTTAGGGTTGAGGGTCTTGCATGAAATATGCATTCCTGGAGACATACAATATCGATGTGTTCGGTTGTTACTTCGTGATATAAATCAGAGAACCTTTTTTGATGGATGCAATGTTCCAGCTAAGGATTAATAACTTAGTTATTTGTGTATTTAAAGTAAGCATTATATAGACTGATATTATTAGTCCACTTAATATATATTATTTATTTCCATAAGATATAAGTCCAGAAACATGTTTTAGAATATTACTAATGTAACACACATTTGCCTTAAATTATCAAGTACATTTTTTCTGTCCTTTTTATCTATAGAGTCGTTTTTAATATAGCTTAGCACAGCTTTGGCAGTTTACCTGTGTGGAAGGCTTCCACTACACAAGGATTCAAACTTACTAAAAGTTTCATAAAATTTGCAAGGGAACACATGTTTGGAGGGTTCAGGGGTGGAGGGGGGGGGGTGAGGGAGAGGTGGCGGTCATTGCTTACAAGTTACCTCACGCACATGAGCAGCTCTGCAATACCGTTGGTGGATTTTTTATAATGTTGCAGCTGCTCTTGCAGCCGTTTCGTCTGCTGCTGGTGTTCCTGCCAAAGTTCACAAAGGGCAGTCGCTGCTGGATCAGTGGAGCGACCCAAGAGCGAGTTGCTAGGGAGGCTGAGGTTGCGATCCATCTCATCTTAATCCTGTTCCTTATCCTCCACTTCCATTTGACTGTGCGGTCCAGCTGTGAGCGGTTCCCCCACAGTAGGTGACATGCAGTGTCCCAGAACCAGGGAGTGGCCATTCTACATCAGGAGCAGGCCCGCCACTGGCAGAACCGGGGAGTGGTCATTCTGCATTAGGGGCAGGCCCACCGCTGGCAAACGTTACAGCACCTGGTGCTTGTGGAGGAGCTGGGGTGTTGGCAAGAGTCTCCGGTCTGGCAGCGGTCCCTTTGTGCACTTCGGAATTAACAGGTGGCGAGTTTGGTGGCCAGCAGGAGCGAGCATCACCCCCAGATAGCTCTGTACAGCGAGTGGAGCTGGTGGCAGCGTTTGGCAACCACTCTTCATGGTGGTGTGGAGGAGAAGGTGAGTGTGGTGTCGGCACCCCCGGGTGGTAGGTTTCAGGCACTCGATGTGTCGACACCCCCGGGTGGTAGGTTTCTGGCACTCGATGTGTCGACACCCCTGGGTGGTAGGTTTCTGGCACTGGACGTGTCGAAACCCCGGGTGGCAGGTTACCGGCACTTGACGAGTCGACACCCCCGGGTGGCAGGTTCCTGGCACTCGACGTGCAGCAGGTTGAACAGGAACCTGATGTCTGGCTCCCTGGTACACTTGGTGGTTTGGCAGATGATGAAGTGTTTGGTAACCAGCTGCTACGAATACAACGTCCAGATGGCATCTACAGGGAGTAGAGCCTGCAGCAGTACCTGGCAACCTTCCTCCAGGGTGGGAGCGGCCAGGTGCCCTACGGTAAACAATTGGTCGTTTGACACAGTCAAGGTGCCAAGCTTGAACACCGCTCATGCCACAATTCATGTATTTTTATTTTACTGGGTTATGTTCCTTTATGCGTTTAAAACACACATCAGAATTATTAGATGCACCACACACTGCACAAAATTTTATTTTGCTTGTGCAGTACCTGGTTACGTGACGTCCCCCGAGTGCTGACATTTATAGCACCTATGTGTACAGTACCTGGTCACGTGGCACCCCCAGTGCTGACACAATAGCACCTATGTGTGCAGTACCTGGCTATGTCACGCCTCCAGTGCCGACACTATAACTCCCGACCTTTTTAAACTCCGGAAATGAGGACTCTCGACCTATTTTCTCTCACATATATACCAGGCCCACTACTGACTATCCCCAGGATACACTCAACATCAATTCTAACTCCTCTTTTACTGTGAGGTGAACAGGGTATTAAATGAAGGTAAACGCTTCCTCGGTTATCAATCAACATGTGTTAGCGTGTGTGTTGTGTTTGTGTTTGATTACTGATCTTAAACAACTTCTACACTCAAACATTACAGAGGAAACAAAGTATTAGATACTGAGAAACCAATTGTTGCTTGTTGTTTCCCAACTATGACGATGTGGTGATCGGTGAGAGGACTTTGGTTATGACCTTGAGGACCGTGTGGCTCACGTGGGACAAATCAAGCAGAACTTCCTCCACGGTGTTAAAGTCAAGTGTTTTGCCGACCTTGTAATCTATACGAAGAAAAGCTTTCTCGCTATGTGGGTTGATTGCTGCTGCCGACGCCAGTGTGCAGCCCTCTTTGATGCCAATGTTCACACTCATCTGGAAGTTGTACAAGTGGAATATTATAGGCTGAGAAGTGCGTTCTGGCTACTAGGTACGACATATATATATATATATATATATATATATATATATATATATATATATATATATATATATATATATATGTATATTATTAAATATGACCGAAAAAGTAAGATTAATAATTCTAACAGGAATTTTCTCAATGTTTCTTATATTTTTTTTCACTGTTGATGGTAACTGAAAAATCAATTCTCCAAAATTCACTTTTATTTCTAGTCTGACGCGACACTTGAGCGCGTTTCGTAAAACTTATTACATTTTCAAAGACTTTACTTTACACACACACAACTATGTGTGTGTGTAAAGCGCTCAAGTGTCGCGTCAGACTAGAAATAAAAATGAATTTTGGAGAATTGATTTTTCAGTTACCATCAACAGTGAAAAAAATATAAGAAACATTGAGAAAATTCGTGTTTGAATTATTAATCTTACTTTTTCGGTAATATTTAATAATATATGTCTACAGGAAAGACTGCTACCAAATATACTAATATACACAATACTGTATTAGGTGAGTACACACACACACATATATATATATATATATATATATATATATATATATATATATATATATATGTCGTACCTAGTAGCCAGAACGCACTTCTCAGCATACTATGCAAGGCCCGATTTGCCTAATAAGCCAAGTTTTCATGAATTAGTTGTTTTTCGACTACCTAACCTACCTAACCTAACCTAACCTAACTTTTTCGGCTACCTAACCTAACCTAACCTATAGAGATATGTTAGGTTAGGTTAGGTAGGGTTGGTTAGGTTCGGTCATATATCTACGTTAATTTTAACCCCAATAAAAAAAATTGACCTCATACATAATGACATGGGTAGCTTTATCATTTCATAAGAAAAAAATTAGAGAAAATATATTAATTCATGAAAACTTGGCTTATTAGGCAAATCGGGCCTTGCATAGTAGGCTGAGAAGTGCGTTCTGGCTACTAGGTACGACATATATATATATATATATATATATATATATATATATATATATATATGTCGTACCTAGTAGCCAGAACGCACTTCTCAGCCTACTATGCAAGGCCCAATTTGCCTAATAAGCCAAGTTTTCATGAATTATTTGTCTTTTGACTACCTAACCTACCTAACCTAACCTAACCTAACTTTTTCGGCTACCTAACCTAACCTAACCTATAAAGATAGGTTAGGTTAGGTTAGGTAGGGTTGGTTAGGTTCGGTCATATATCTACGTTAATTTTATCTCCAATAAAAAACAATTGACCTCATACATAATGAAATGGGTAGCTTTATCATTTCATAAGAAAAAAAATAGAGAAAATATATTAATTCAGGAAAACTTGGCTTATTAGGCAAATCGGGCCTTGCATAGTAGGCTGAAAAGTGAGTTCTGGCTACTAGGTACGACATATATATATATATATATATATATATATATATGTTGTACCTAGTAGCCAGAACGTCGTACTCGCCCTACTATGCAAGGCCCGATTTGTCTAATAAGCCAAGTTTTCCTGAATTAATATATTTTCTCTAAATTTTTACTTATGAAATGATAAAGCTACCCATTTCATTATGTATGAGGTCATTTTTTTTATTGGAGTTAAAATTAGCGTAGATATATGACCGAACCTAACCAACCCTACCTAACCTATCTTTATAGGTTAGGTTATGTTAGGTAGCCGAAAACGTTAGGTTAGGTTAGGTAGTCGAAAAACAATTAATTCATGAAAACTTGGCTTATTAGGCAAATCGGGCCTTGCATAGTAGGCTGAGAAGTGCGTTCTGGGATAAATTCAAATTTATTTGAAAAGATTCAGGTATTGAATGAATTTAAGCATGAGGTATAAGATTTCATGTAAAAGATTCAGTTGCTGAAAAATTAAATCAAAACTTACTGAAATTTAGGGCTTAATTTGCCCCACAGTATAATGATTAAAATTTTTTATGGACATATTCAGGTTATGTTAAGATGTATGCAATTATCCAATCAACATACTACAAATAACACTCAAACCGGAGCCTTATCTGACTAGTTGCCAGGCTGTATGATCTCTCTTGAGGAGGTGAGCTCTGTATTTTGATGTCAGAGCGTTACTGTTGTTATATTGATATCACAGTTTTGCGGTTGAGAATTCTAGTAGCTTTGCTAGGATAGATGACGTGGTGGAAGCGGCTTCATGTCATGAGCCACTCTACACTTTTATTTTAGGTAAATGTATTCAGAATTTTTCCTCATATATAGTCCAGGAATTCCCACAGTATCTAGAGAGCTATGACTGGTGATATAAGATTAGTTTGTGCATAAAGTCTTGCTTCTATAATGTCTCAAGCACAGCATACGTGATTGCACTGTTTACGAACAAAATATTCTTGCCCCGGGTGCTCCAGTTGTGGGCGCTTGTCCTCCGAGCTGGCTCCTCCCTTCCTTGGGGAGGGTAGCTTTCAAAGTATACTGACTGGTTATTTTTATTGTCTAGACAGATTATTGAGATCAAATGTGATTATAATATAATTAGATATAGGATTTAAAGAGTATAAGAAGTACTTGATAGTACCATTGATTATTATTAAGGATTTGATTTAATCCTCACTGGAAATCGATTGATGTTTTTCATTTTTTTTAATTAATTAAGTTCTTCTCGAACCTTCAAGATCCTTGAGAAATCACACAAGGTCATGTAGGCGCCTATAGGCCCAATGGCGTGTGTGACCATGTGGCATTGTCAAGTAGGATCGAGATGTAGGATTTAATGAATCTGATGTGATTCTGATATGATATAGAAATAATACATTTCTTAGATAACAATATTTGTGGGAAATTTTTACCCACCATATCTAATAATCATCTAAGAAATGTATAATTTCTATATCATTTCTATATCATATCAAAATCATATCTAAACCGTATCAAAATCATATTAGAATCATTAAAGATTCATTATATAGCTTGATCCTGGATGACAATGTCACCATGAACACGTACGCAACAGGGCCCTTTTGATGCCTACGTGACTTTGTACATGATCTCTCAAGGATCCAGAAGCTTCTAGAAGGATTTGTTAATTAAAAAACTATTGGAACATTTATTCAACATCCGGTAGATTAAAAATCGAATCCTTAATAAGATTCAGTGGTACTTTCAAATACTACTTATAATCTTTAAATCTTATATCTAATTATATTATAATCACATCTTATCTTAATCATAAGTCTAGACTGTAAAAATAATCAATCAATATTCATTGAAAGCTACCTCTCAAGGGAGAGGGAGGAGCATCTCGGGAGCGAGAAGCGCCCACGATGATACCTCGTGGCACTTTGGGTTTGTTTACAACTGAGTGAACAAGTGTGACGGATCCTTAGCGAACATTACCAGCTCAAGGACACCTTATCTAACATCTTTATCACCAGTGAATACTCTCTAGAACTGGGGGAGTACCTGGACAATATCTACAAGGAAAATCCTAGAACATTTATATAAAATAAGAGTGTATAGTGGAGATCACAGTGAACACGGTTTCCTCCACCTTCATTCCTACTCTTTATCCGATCATTCTTCTGCAACTGCAGGGACAATCACGTAGCAACGCTACCAGATCATCAAACAGCAACGCTGTGACAAAATATCGTGCCCAAACTCAACAAGAGAGAGTTAATCAGTCTGGCAAACTTGTCAGATAGGCACCCGGCTTCAGATAAGAATATTGAAGGTTATTACAGTAGCGTATTAATTGGCCAATTGTATGCTTGTATAACTTTAATATTCTATAAATCTGTCTGTCGGTAAAAAAGCGAGGCAACGCCTCATTCATCGGTACGTTTATTAAAATTGTAGTGTAGCTGTGAATATTATCCAGCAGTAGACTCGTGAGTGTCCATTGTGTCAGAAAATTCCTCACCGGAATTCACTAACTGGACCGAGAATCAGTGGTTCAAAAAGTTGTGCCTAGTCCTCGAGTCACAAAATACTATCATCTTGAGTCTTCTCAACGAGAATCTAGCGAACCGCGCTAATCTCCAACAACAACAACAAGAAATAACCCTACTCCGCGAGGATATTAGAAACTACAAGGCTAGCCAAGACCAACTACAGCATGATTTGAATGATCTCCATGAGGAAAACAACCTTCGGAAAACTGATGAAGCCTTAAAAAAACAGGAGGAAGCTCTCAGCAAAATGACTGCATGTATCAGTACATTTTCAGCTCAACGTTCCGTCTCCCAGGAGGAACAAGACCAGCAAAAGCTGCTAGACTCTGTTATCGTGTCGTCCCAAGATATACCTGTGGAACATGAAGGTGAAAATTGTGTCGAAATAGCTCAGGATCTCTTAAAAAACAAATTGCAGCTCAATCTAAACAAAACTGACGTTATTGCTGCCTACAGAGTAGGCAAAAAGAATCCATCAGGTCTAAATCAACGGAAAATTCGCCTGAAGCTGTCTTCCCAGTTCACGAAATCCAATCTAGTCCGGACAGCTGCATCCCAACGGAAGGGATTATACATCAACGAGTGCTTGACCAGGAACAGACAGCAAATCCTCTACCGCCTGCGTCAAATCCGTCAACTAAACCCAGATGCGATTCATCAGTGCTTCGTTAGAGATGGTCTGATAAAGGTGAGAAAAACCGCAGAGGGCAAAATGTTTACTATTACTAGAGAAGAAAACCTCAACACTTTCCTCTCCCAATGTGGTTTGTCTCACCTTATCACTCCCAATGAATTAACTTAATTAACCCCCTGTCAACTAGTGGGGCTAGGTATCCTAAGTCTCCTTGGTTCATTTTCTGACTTAATTTTTAACTTACTCTTACCTAGTCATTTACCGAAATTATTTAATTGAATTATTAAGTAGTTCTTCAGGTCTTTTTAATTATACAATCATTACTGAACTATCTATAGTTATTAATCATTAGCTTAAATTTGCCTATGTTTATTATTCAACTTTTCTTTGATTT